CGGCACAGTGGTGGGAGGGTGGGGGGTGGAACTGGATACCCAGGGTCAGGGTCTCAGAAAAAACCCCAATTTCACAGTATCCCAGTATTACAGAATTATTATTTCTATCAATCATAATGACCCTTAAAGGAATAAAAATTTAAGGGTAGACCTTGAAACTACTACACCGCTGCAACCCTGAGGCCCCAAAAGAAAAGGCCACTTGAAAAGTGAAAAAAAAGTTTTGTTTTGTCTGCAATTTTAATTTCTAAATAACCAATGCTATAAATAAATTAAAAGTGGCTGAATAAATCAGTTGAAAGACTGGACTTTGTATAAAGAAAATAGTGGAAGCTCTCAGAGACCACTCTCACCCCTTAAAGGTCACCCCTGTACTAGGATTCATCTCTAAACTCATAGGGAATTAATACTTCTGCGTTTAATCCACGTTGACGTACAGTAGAGCCTACGCCATAGCCTGACGTGCACCTCTCCAGAATTGTAACTATGCGTTGCGGTGACGCAGACCGCAAAGCTTTTATTTACTTTAATTTCACAGACACAAGCTATAAATTGTGAATACAGTAAAGCCTCCACTAAAATAGCATTATAAGTCTTGTGTGGGATTTATCCTTCAAGGGATTTACTTCAGGATTTATCCAGGTTTCATATGAGAAGAGGAAATCGCCGCTGGTCACTAGGCTAATTTATACAATGTAAAATGCCATAGGCTGGCGCTAAAAACATTAGCATGTTATATTTGTGGGGAAAATGTATCCAGATAAACACAAACACATTGTCTGTACTTGTACTTGTGTTTGAAAACCTCTCTATTGCACCATGTTTAATGTGTGTTTAATGTGATTTTTGAATCAACTAAACTTTACAGCACTTCACAGAAACCTCCGCCGCTCACTAGTGTTTTGGAGGTGTAACTGCAGAGTGACACGGACACACCACAGCACAAGTAAAAATGCTCACAACAGTGTATACGACATGCGTAGGGTCTACGCACAACCATAAATCTCATTTTCCAGGCCCGCCATCGGGGGGGTCAAAGGGCACAGATGACATGCAGAGGCCTATGCACTAAAGGTGGTGCTGGACTGGGTGTGTATGAGGGGCCCTAAGTTTGGGAGTTTGTCCCCCTGTCCATCACATCTAATGGCCGGCCTGAGCTCAGCTGGAGCCAAATGAGGACTGCTTCTGCTGCTCATATCTTTTCCCAAGACACCAAAAAAAGAGTGGATTGAAAATGTCCCCCACCCAGAATATGAAATTAATCTCTTCATTTAGAAAAGAACCAGCAGATTACTTTATAATAACAATAATCATGAGTTGCAGCCCCAAGTCTTTCCTCCTCTCCGTACCTGCTGTGAAAAATATCACTCACGAGATGCAGCACGTCTGACTTGGACAAATCAAGCGCCTGTTTCAGAGCAACATTTCCTCCTTGTGATTCCTCAAACAATGTTTCTTTCATGAGACAGCTGACAGGAAATGAGGGGCAAATAAGACAGCATGACATGCAACAAAGGTCCCCTGTCAGATTCAACCCGTGGGCATCGCTGTTAATTTGGGATTAGCTAAAAATATCACGGTGGACTGCACGTCCAGTATTGCGTCAAACCTCTGTGAAATATTTGAGCTGAATGATAATGACTTTGACCTAACAAGCAGTGAACAGTGGAGCATATCATGAGACTGCTAAAGAAATAATATGGAATAAAAGCACAGTGTCTGTGTCCCTAAACAGGCATGTGGTCAGTGGCAGTTTTCTCCTCTCTGACTGGATGGACAGTTGTCTGGGTTTGTAATTGTTTGGCAGAAGGGTAAAAACAATTAAAATATGTACAGAATGGCATCTACTTTAAAATGTCAATGAAAATATTACAGGGGGAAAAAATAGCCCAATTAAAAACATGCCAAACTGCATTTCAAGAGGGGATGCTGAATTATTGAACCAGCAACAGTGCTTCCCCAACTTCAAGGAGCTGTCAGCACAATGTAGCATGACCCACGCTGAATCCGTGAAGCCATCACTTCTCTGACACTAAAGTAGTTTTATGCTGGTGTAATTAACATTGCGGTATATTCTCTTTGCAGCCAATTATCCCGCGTGTTCAAGCTGCAACTGAGCAGGGGGGAAAAGAATCTGTCAGAGGTGACAAAAGCCACCTAATGGAAAAATCTGTAACTCCTACAACAGGCCTGCTCTATCAGTGAAAATCAATACGCCTTTTGCCAAAGAGATCTCAGCTGGACTGTGTTATCAAGGTAGACCATACATCAAACTGGCCAGCCACACAAAGGGGATACAGCTAAGTACCATTTCTGCTCCTGACTGTGCGCTAACTGATTAAAAAGTCATATATTGTTGAGTTCATGAAGCTTTATTTCAACCAGAAGGCATAATAGAAATGAAAAAAAGGGGAAAAACCTCTTTATTCAGACACAAAAGAAAGCTGGCAGACATTCATTCAAAGGCAGTTTGTTATTAACGCACATATTGGGAATTTTAAAAATATAGCCCTGTTTAGATCAGTCAGCAAAAAGTAGATATGTATACTAAGTAACATACAAGAACAAATATCCACTCTCCATTTCCATGCACACCAGGTGCATTCGATCAAACATAGTTAGATATTGAATAAAAGAGCATAATTTCAAAACTCAGTACAAAAACACGAGATTGACAGAACAGTGTGTAAGAGTTAGGGGGGTTTAGTGCCATCTAGTGGTGAGGATTGTGAATTGCAACTAGCTTAAACATCTCCTGGTTAGAATTCCTCCAGTGTTCATGATTTAGGAGGTTTTAACCAGGAGATGAATCATCTGTAGAGGTCTCCTCCTCTCCGAAACAAACAGACATGGTGATTTAAACCGGTAAAAACACTGAATAAAGTAGTTTCATGTTACAGATCACTTTGTTTACAATATTGTTTGGCATGTCAGAGACAGGTTGCTAGCCCAGCGCGTGCTAAAGTGTGTTCACTTTTTTTCTAGAGTAACTAAAGATCCTGATGTTCTCGAGGTTTTTGTCAGGAGGTGAATTATCCGCAGGCGTCTCTTTCTCTCCGAAAAACAAACCTGTAAAAACACTGAATAACGTTTCATGTTACAAATCAATTTTTTTCCCATCCAGGCCACCAGCTCAGCAGCTTTTTTCTTTGATAACTTAAAAATTAGACGTTCAGGAAGTTCTAACTGGGAGCCGAATTATCCATAGAGGTCTCTTCCTCCCCATAACAAACAGACCTGGTGATATAAATTGGTAAAAACGGTGAATAAAGCAGCTGCGTATTAAAAAAATCAGTGTTTGTCCAATGCTGCTCATCGCAGAGGGGCTGCTAACTAAGGTGGCTATTGTGAAAACGATTACACACCAAAGAAAAACATGTATACTTTTAGTTTCTGCCAACATATCCCCCTAAATCCGACACACTGGACCTTTAAAATCAGAGCAGTTCATCTCTCCATGGACATACATTTGAAATAACATGTAGGCAGCAGTGCCTGATTATTAGCTGAACGGGCTGAGGAGTTCAAGAGTTGTCGCTGTCGTCGTCATCGTAGTATCTATTCCTCTTGATCTGCTCCTCCACTGTCAAGGCGTCGTCTCCATCTGCCCACAAAGAAGTGCCGTCCCTGTAGTTTGTGGCAAAGCTGTCACCGCTCTCATCCTTCCCCCTTACATCTCCCGCTTTGCCCGCGCTCTCTCTCGCCTCCATCCCAAAATCCAAAAGGTCATCCAGCGCTGACACTGGAGGCGTCTCCCCGACAGATTGACTGAAGATGTCGGATTTGAAATCAGATAGCAGGCTGGAGCTGCTGGTGCTTAGGCCGGCAAAAATGTCCTCGAGGAAGCTCGATGTGCTAATCTTTGGCTCGGTGGCCTCGTTTTTGAAAGTGAACATTCCCTCGGCTGTCTCCGTGAAGAAATTTGTGTCTGAATAGCAGTCTGTGGCTTCAGTACATTTGGCACCCGCTGGCACAAAAGCATCATCCCTCTGTGCCAATTGCAGCACTTCACTTGGCATCCATTTTGATTCTTCACAGTGATCGGCTTGGAAGAAATCTGTTGTTCTTGTTGTATCTGTCAAAAAGAGTGACTGGTTTTTCTTTTCCTCATCCTCACTAAGCCCTTGAAACAGGATTTCATGCTCCAGCAGTGTCTGGCCATAATTATTGTTATTGTTGGAGTTTGCATTCACCACCTGTCCTGCCATCACCTCCTCATCTATTAAGGTGACCTTTACCGCCTCCCCATTGTTCATGCCGTCATTATTCCCTTTATCTATCCCCTCCTGGCTTTCCTTCTCACCTGCGGCACTTTCTATCTGCCCATCATGTCCATTTACTTTCACTTCCTCCACCCTCTCTACACTTTTCTCTATGTTCTCCTGCTGCACATCAATGCTTTCCACAGCTCCTCCATCTCTTCCTGCGCCTTGTTCCTTCTCTTCCACTCCAGGGTGCACTTCAGAGTCCATTTCAGAATCCACTTGTGTCACAGCCTCAGAGCCACTGTTTGACTCTTTAGTTTCTTGAGTGTGAGCAACACTCGCTGGTTCCTCGGCGACTGCTGCAGGGGAGGCCGGAGCCTCTGACTGTGCTGGAGTCTCTTCAGGCTTTTTCACATTCTCTGTTAAACACGCACTCTCATGCACCTTGTCATTTTCCTGGGGTCCATTTTGTACTTCTGCTGCAGGGAAATCAGTCTCCTTTAATGAATGCTTCGTAGGCTGATTTAGGTGTTCATTTTCCTGAGCTGAGCCCTCCTTAGGGGGCCATGACGGCTTAACCAACTTCAACTCCTCCTCGATAGCGAAGGATTTCTTTGGAGAATCTGTTTGAGGAGGCCACACTACAGAAATCTTAGTTGTGAGCTTTTTGTTTTCGACCTCTGATTTGCTTATGTCATTATCCTGAGTAGCTAATGTGCTCTGACTGGTGGAATATCTGGGCTCCATGACCTTCTTTTCAGGTGATGGTGATCTGACTTTTGTCTTTTCGGCTGAGTTCTCCTGGTTCTTACTACTCCATAATTCTTTGTGTGGTTTCTGTCCAAATCCCTCGTCATAATTTCCTTTGGACTTGAATAATTGCTTGTAGTGTGGCTTGCAGTACATTCGTCCATGGAGAGAGGCATAGTTTCCAAGGCTGTTAACAAACAGAAAGAAAACAAGAGGTTAATTTAGAGCAAAGAAAAAAAAGCAGGAGAATGAATTGCTCTGTGAAGTAGCTTCACCTTAGTTTGCCTCTGCAGTGCTCACAGCGAAAGCAGCTTTTATGGAAGTTTTGTTTGTCCGCGATCAGCGACTCCATCGGGTACACCCTCTTCCGACACACCCTGCACAGTTCGGACTCTGGAACTCGAATTTTCTGCAAAGAGAAATGAGGTAACGTTTTAATTTACAGGGTCGTCATCTCCTTTTAATTTCCAAGGAAATTACCTGGAAACAGTAATGTAATTTGGTACAAATTATAGGCGAAAGAAAGATGTTCAGCCTCTAATTAATTAAAGGGAACCTATTATGCTCATTTTCAGCTTCATACTTGTCTTTGAGGTTTCTACTAGAACATGTTTACATGCTTTGATGGGAAAAAGAATTAATTCCCCTTATACTGTTTGGCGTGGAAAAACATTATTTACCCTCTGTCTGAAATGCTCCATTTTCGTGCCTAACTCTGAAACAGCCCAGTGTGCTCTGATTGTCCAGTGTTTCTGGGTCTTCTGTATCTCAGTGTCTCTGCACTGTTTTATGAAGTCAGGAAATGACTGTACTGCAGTATAGAGGCACTTTTTACAATGGAAAATCACTAATAAAAGCTTTTGTTCCAGCAGGAATGTTTTCTAAAGTCTAGGTGAAACGTAGAACATCAGCAACCAAGTTTACATGTTTCCCTGATGTTAGCATGTAGTTACATGTAGCCGTGAAGGCTCTGTAATTTAAACACTTACAGTATCATGCCTGGAGCAGATGACTGTGTTAAGAAATCTTTACTTCTCCATACTTTTACCTCATTATTTGAAACTTTGGCAATGTTCAATGTGAATATCCATCATTGTAACATTATTTATAAGATACAAATATGTAAAAGCATAACAGTTCCCCATTAATTCCAATTATTGCTTGTGTAAGCTTGAGCACTGTTTCCCTAACCTTTACGACCCCTTACAATGAAGCAGTGTTTGCTTGTGTATCAATGAATAACAAAGTCATGAATAATTGTAGGAAAGTCAGAAAAAATAAACCAACTAAACTATTTTTTGTGTTTTCTTGTCCCTTTAACTCTCTCGTGACCCTGTGATTCATTTTGGGACCACTCGGAGGGTCATGACCTGCAGGTTGGGAACCAGTGAGAGTATTTAAAGTGAGGAAAATGAATAATGAATTAATATTTACTGTGGTTGAAATGCAGCGATTCCTGTTTATCTATAATTGCAATCAAATGACAGAGCTCCTTCCAGGAAAGTTAAAGTATTATTAGGAAAGTGGACAAAACACACTTTAATTGAACTGTGTTAGAAGGTTAGGCAAACAAAATCATCATCACAGTGTACATCCTTCAAGGTGTTAGAAAATGTACTATTCTGTGATTCGTATCAGCACTGGATTTGCAATTAATTATCTTTAAATGGCTTATCTTTGAAGGACTGAGAGTGATTTTCATAATTACTGCAACAGCTTTAAAAATGTAATTAGTTCAGTGTTTAGAAAAAAAGTTACTTAATTTTGGAATTCCCCTCATGAACATGTAATAAAAGGTAATGCCTGTTCTTCAACTGAAGAGTGAGAAGAAATTAAATGTATTGCTTTCTCCTCGCTGGAGACATTTCAAGTGCTCCTCTGTAGTCAAAACACTATCACACACACAGGCATGAGAAATATTAGTTCAATATGTTGCCGTCATCGCCAGCTTCACACATCAGAGGTATAAATAAAAAGGACAACGTGTAACCAGTGAGTATTAAAATCTGTGAAACTGACAGAGCCTAAACTGCGAGCAGCGCCGAGCTTTAGTGCAAACGTTTCATATGAAAGAAAACACATCAAAGGAAATCACGCCATGTAAATAACAGTGTCAAACCAATGTTAATGCTTCTTTTCTCTCCACACAATGCAACTGATGCCTTTAACTTCTCACACACAAAGCATGTTAAACACACCGTCACGCCTGTTTAGTATCCTCATGCGGCACAGCCTGGTTTACCCGCCACGACGGTCTGCTGCTGATGTGTTACAGTCTGCGAGGTCCTCTGCTCCGTGACACTGAAACCCAGGTTCTGGAAAACTCCTTGACTCTCGGCCCACGACTGCTGGAAGTTTCTCAGCAGCTCCTCAGTAGAGGCCTCGGGGGGCACGGCAACAGTTGGAACTGCGCCTCTCACCACATCAGCGTAGGATGGAGGGTTACCGCGGGTCAGGGAGCTCCCAGAATGCATCTCACTCATTGTCCCGCTTGTCATGTTTCCGAAGTCGTCAATGCTGCAGAATTGCTCAGTGACTGCTGTCGACTCAGAGTGACCCACCGGCTCAGAATGGGCTGGTTCAGGTTCTCTTCTTTCTATTTGTTCTCTGAGCTCTCGAGCCGCCTGAGAACTATGCTCTCCTGTCTCAAACACATACTTGATCGCTTTAACGTTGAATGACGGGATCTCGTCAGTTTTTGGCGGCTCAGTCTCAGCATCCTCCGTATCGCTCCCCAGCCTCTCCGTGATCACAATAGGATCTTTTCTGGTGTAGACTTTTGGTCGTGGAGATTCAAATTTGTTCACCAGCTTAGAAAGGTCGACTCTTGGGAGATCCTCTTTCAGTATGTCTATAGTCACAGTCTCAGTGGCTTCCTCTGTGTCAGGTCCCAGACGTTCAGGGATATCAATGGGGTCCTTCCGCATGTACATCTTACTCACCTCCGCCTTCTGTGCCTCCTCAAAGAAAGACTTCTTATCCCTCACTGTCATCATAGAGTCCACCATTTCTGCGACATCCACCGATCCTCGCTCATCTCTCTCTATTGGAGTCCCCCTGTCGCTAAATGGGGACGAACGCTCCCTTTCCAAGAACTCTGGCACCGGCATGGGAGGTGGAGGCGTCATTCCACGAGAAAGTTTGGAGGTGGTGTCCCTCAGTTTCATCAGCTTCTCCGAGCGGCTCAGGGTAGGAGATGGCGTGGTCCTGCTGAAGGTAGATGTAGGGGTGTATGACTTGCGAGGAGGCGGCGGAGGTGTCCCGACTGACTTGTAGGGCGGAGGAGAAGGGGTCACTCTGAGTGGCGAGTCTACCTTCCTTGACTCAATGCTTATAAAAGTAGGTGATGGAGTGCGGATGCTCGCCAATGGGGAGGACACTCTCTGATCAGGCGCCTTGCTCAGCTCCTGATGCACTTTCCTCTCCTGAGGTGACTTTTTCTCCTCTGCCACCTTCTTTTCACTTTTAGAGGAGCCGATACTGATCTTTGATATCTTTGCTCCGCTAAAAACTTTATTGTCTGGTTTTGGAGGAGGTGGGGGCGGCACTGGCGGTTCACCTTTTGCTGTCCTCTGCTTCTCCACGGCTGTCAAGGTTTCCTCCAAAAATGTGAGCTTTGCTTGGAAAATATTTTTCACATAGACCATCATCTCTCTCAGCTTTTTCTTGCTTTGCTGTTTAGCAATTTCACTTAAATTCTTTTTCTCATCCGAGCCCATCGCCCAGTCAGGGAGTTCGCTTATAATCATCCTGACAGCGTTGGAGTCTATTTTGTTCGGTGTGCCCTCGAGCTCTTTTATTTGAGCAAGCAGCTTCTGCATTACATTACATTTCTCCAAATCTGTGATTTCTTCTGAATGAGCCTCGTCTTTATGGGCTATTTTCCCCTTCCCTTGCATAGCCACATCCTTAGGCTCACCTTTTGACTTTACTGCCTTTATCTGCATTTTATTGGTTTCTGCTGCTTGTACCTTTATTTGTTTTTGCATCTGAACAGCCTCTTGCTTTTGAAAGCTTTTCTGTACCACACTCTCAGTCACAACCACCTCCTCGTGTTTTTGAATGTGCTCTGCCGTCATGCTCTGCTGACTGTGGGAGACAGATACATGGCCTTGTCCTTGATGAGTTGCTGCAGATGTTATCTTAGCCACCTTAGGAATTAAGGCAGTAACTGATGGTGACAGCTTTAGTTCAGTCTCATTCTTCTGCAGCTGCTTTCCCTTCTTCACGTGAACCTCCACTTCAGCTTCTTTCACAGGTGGAGTAATGTGACTTTTCTTCTCCTTTCCTTTCATTTCTGTTGTCACCTCAGTTCTTGCTGACGTCAGCTGGCTGCTCTCCTGACTCACTTTTGTTTCACTTTTCTGTGATACGTTACTTTTCTCTTGCTGTAAATGCATTTCACTTTTCATTGCACTGTCACATTTCTCCTCTTTCTTCTCTGCTGGCATCTTAAAGGTTTTCACCTTGAAACTTGGAGTTACTTTTGGAATTTTAGTGGGCTGAGAGGGACTCATTTTCCCCTCCTGTGTCAGAGGCGCATTAATATTCTTTACATCTTCAGCTTTCAATGTGACCGCACTCTCGCTTTGAAGATTTACATTTTCCTGGACAGCACTCTGTGTGGCAGCGATAGACCTGGTGCTGGATTTCTTAATAAACTGCTGCTGCTCCGTGACTGAAGAAGTGACCACGTTTGAGCATGACTGGACTTCAATATTCGAGGCCTCGCGGTTAGACTTAGAAACAGAAACTGTCTGATTCTTGGGGGTGGTTTGACTCTTTTTAATCACATCAGTTGAGGCGAGTACTCTTTCTGAGGAGTGCTCGCTGGCAACATGCTTCTTATCCAAGGACACATTTGAAGATGCAGATGCAGATTTTTTATTTTCCACTGAGATCAGGGGCTTGCTTAAAGGGATCTGGGAAGGCGTTTTCTTGCCAGGCGATGCTCCTTCTTTGGAAACAGTCTTAACTTCTTCGGTTTTTGCTTTAGTTTCTTCTGTGACCACTTCTTTTTCAGTTTTCTGTGTTGCAGAAAGCTCAGGACTGGCATTAATTGGTGGAGAAGTGGGAGGTGTGACATTACTCCTCCCTTCTTCTTGTTTCTCCAGTTGCTGGCGGTATCGTTCCTCTGCAAGCATGAGAGGGGTTTTAAATTTGCGAGCGTACGGTCTAGGCTTTGAAGCTGGAGTGGGTTCAGGAGTTGGGGGCAGTTTAATCGGAGGGACAAACACTTTTTTAGGTGGCTGCGGGCTCTCTCTTTGCATCGGCTTCACAGCTGGGACGCTTGGTATTTTTGTCATCGACACTGCTGTTGCTTCAGACTGTTTGCTTATTTCAATCTGTTTGGTTGTTTCTTTTTTCACCTCCAGAACTTTAGCTCCTTCTTTGCGCTCTGTTGATACTGTTTCTGCTTGATCAGAAGGGAGCTGAGGTGGAGGTGGAGGTGGAGGTGGTGAGGGAGTCGGCTGCTTTTTCTGCCATTTGGGTTTAACTTGTATGTGCTGCTTTGGTGTTTCTGGCTGCTTGGGCACTTTGAATAAAGGCCTCCCGATGGGTTTCCCCAGCTTTACAGGCGGAGGCTGAGGCATGGCATTAAGCTCTTGCTGCGAGGGAGGTGGAGGGAGAAAATCTTGCCCGCTCTCTGTAGGTGGAGGCGGAGGAGGTGGAGGAGGAGGGAAAAACTCAGGCTCAGATTTACATTCCATGGGAGGTGGAGGTGGTGGAGGTGGGAGGTCGTTGTCCTGCCTCATGATAGAAGGAGGGGGCAATGGGCTGTCCGGCAATGGGCTGTCCAGCAAGGGCGACGGCGGTGGAGGGAGGGAGAGCTCCGACTCTGAGGGTGGAGGCGGTGAGGAGGGAGGAGGGGGGAAATGAATCTCCGGCTTTGCCTTTTTCACCACACCTTTCCCTCTTATGTCAAGGTTACGGTAATCACCCTTCATATTTTTCATGTTGTGCTTTTGTGTGAGCGCCTTATTCTCCGCTTGCTTTTGCTCTGATACACTTTGCTTCTGCATGACAGTTTTCTCCATCACTGTCGTCTGCACCTGTTTGATTGTCTTTGTCTCACATATTTGCCTGTTTGAAGTGCTGGTCTGTGATGTATTTTGCACCTCTTTCATCACATTCACATCTGCTGCTTTCGTCTCTGTTTGATCATTGTTAGTCATTTGTTTATTCTTTATCATAATAGGCTTAGGAGCTTGTATTTTCTGTGGGGGCAACACTTTCTGTTTCTGCTCTTTCATGCTCTTGTGTTGAGAGGCCCCAGTAGGATTGTCTGTTTTGGCTACAGTAACAGAGTGGTCCTCTTGGGTTATTACCTGTGTTCTCACCGATTTGCTTTCGTTGTGCCTCTGTGTGTGCCTCTGTGACTCACCGCTCTGAGAGAGCTTTTTCACAGCGGGGGCTGGATTGACTGCTACACTCTCACTCTTGGCTTCATGTAAGCATTCATGCTCCGCTTGCTTTACAGTTAATGGATTTTTCACGGGCACTTTTGCTTTCTTCGAGGAATGCGAGCGCTTCGTATTTGAATACTGTTTTCTTTGCATTAGATTCTTTATTGCCCCTTGAACGTCCCCTTTTACTACCTCCTCTTTTTCCAGCTGCGTTGTCTCCTGTCCTTCATAAAGACATTTTATGGATGTTTTCACATCTCCTTCAATGCTCCCCCTGCGCTGCATTTTGGGAGAAGTTGTCGGCTCTAGCAAGAGCTGGATAGTGGCTTTAATATCCCCTTGTTCGCTCACTTGATGCTGGTAAGTCTTTTTCTCACTCGATGCCTCCTGTAAACTTTGCATGGCGGTGTGGATGTCTCCTTTGAGAATCTCCTCTTTTTCTACCTCTTTCACAGCTTGCTTCGCCTCCTCCAGGGACTTCAGGGTCCCTTTGATGTCACCTGGCACTAGATCTTCAATAGTTGCTTCCGTATTGGTGGTTGCAGATTTCTCCAGTGACTCAAGAGCACCTCTGATGTCTCCCCTGATGATTTCAGGCTTTTCTACTTCTTTGGCTAGATGCTGGGCCTCCTCCAGAGACCTCAGAGTAGTGGGTATGTCTCCCTTCACCACCTCCTCTTTCTCTATTACCACTTTCTGATTTATGGCTTGAGTCAGTGAATCCAGGGCTGCGCTAAGGTCACCTTTAACAATATCCTTTTTCTCTAGGTTTTTGAAGGTAACAGCAGGCTGGGTCATAAAGACTTTAACATTGCTGTGTACGTCACCAGGAACTATATCGTCCTCTGCCACTGTGCGCCCAATCTGCTGCTGATTCTTCCGCAGCAAGATTTTTGTTTCATGAACGTCTCCACCTATGATGCGCTCCTTTTCCACCTTTTCCTGAGCTTCATCGGGTTCATACTGAAGCTGCTTCAGGTAATCCAAGGCTCCCGACTCAATGCATGTGGAGTAAAAGCTGACATTGCCCCTCTCAGTGTCTGCGACCTTTATCTTCTTAGAGTCTTCTCCTCCTGAGTTGGAGAGGAGACGATGAAGGGTTTTGCTCACGTTTCCTTGAACAATATCCTCTCTCTCTGTGCTAGCCCTCTCCCCTTTATTCAAGAGGGAATAGATAGTCATCCTCACGTCTCCTTTCTCATCCTCTTGAATCAGAATGCCACGCTTTGAGGAGCCTTCAGTCTTGAGCAGCTTGTTTACGGCCTCTTGAATGTCACCGCGGACAATCTTCTCTTTCTCCACATTGATTCCCTTTTCCTGGTTGAAAAGCTGCTTCACTGTGGTGTTGATGTTACCCCGCTCCTCCCTGTCAATAGTTATCCCCCTTTCAGTGGACTCCCTGCGATTCAGGAGATTCATCATTATGTTGCTCAGATCTCCTCTGATAATCTCTTCTTTTTGGATTTGTGGAGCCTCCTGGTTCATGAGTTTATACTTCGCCATGCGGACATCGCCAATCTCATCTGCTTCAATAAGAACACCTTGGGAGTCCACCATTTTCTGACTGTAAAGCTCCTGGAGAGTCTCTTTGATGCTTTTACCAATTATTTCTGTTTTTTCCATGCTGCTCTCGTTGAAATTGTGAAATGGTGTGGTTTCAAATAGCCATGTTGTCGTCTTCACATCGGCCTGTGGGATTTCCTCCTTTGTGACTACAAGCTCTGTGCCATCAGTCTCTTTGATGCTGTCAAGAGGCTGCTTCTCAAAGAGCCACACAGACTGTTTGACATCTCCTTTCATCACTTCCTCTTTTGTCACTTTCTCCATGCCATCATACTCCACGCCTTCGCCGTGAATCTCATCAATTGTGCGTGTTTCAAACATCCACGTGGCAGATCTGACATCGCCTTTTTGAATTTCGCTCACGCTAACAGTTCTGATGTACTTTTGAGACATCTCATCAGTCTCAAATCGCTGCTTATTTGTCTTCACATCACCGCCTTGGATATCTGCAACTGTTTTCGACCTGACTTTTATATCCTCTGTAATTTCATCCAGAGGTTGCGTTTCAAACCTCCACCTCGCGGAGCTAACGTCTCCTTTGTTGATGCCTTCCTCAGTCACAGCTTTAATAACGTAGACCTCCTCTGAATCTCTAATTGAATCCAGAGGCTTTGTCTCGAACAGCCATCGAGCCCCGACCACATCTCCTCTAATGATTTCTTCCTTGGTAACTGTCGTTACTTCATGATAATGGCCCTCTTTGTCACAGATGGCATACAGTGGCTGAGTTTCAAACATCATAGTGTAATTTTTCACATCCCCCTTCTCTACTTCATCTCTAAAGATACTGGTGAGTTTAGAAATATCAGTCTCAGTTGACTCTTCTTTAATTTGATCCAGAGAGTAGGTCTCAAAAATGAAGCGGCCTTTATCAACGTTGCCCCCCTGAACATCAGTCACAGTACGACTTTCCCTTGTCTCTGTGGAATCATCACGGATAGCGTCCATTGGCTGATTCTCAAACATCCAGGTACAGTTGACAACGTTTCCCTTCTGGATGTCCTCGGCCTGCTGTGTCTTCAGCCTCTGCATAGTCTCCTCAGAGGTGGAACTCATAATGTCCGTGGAGCGATTCTCAAAGATGTACTTCATCCTGGAAACATCGCCTGACTGGATGTCGATTTCCGTAACCCTCCTGAAAGAGCCACTATCCTCACCTGTAATATTTTCCAGGTTCTCGGTTTCAAACAGGAAGCGGGCCAGCCGCACATCTTTTCCTTGGACATCGTCTTGGTTTACAGTGCAGGCTTTCAGAATGGTCTCAGACTCTGTGTGATCGCGTATGTTGTCAAGCGTCTGGGTCTCAAAGAGCCAAGTGCACGTTTTCACATCACCTTTTTGCACTTCTTTGACGTCAGCCTCGCTCTTCTCCACCTTTTCATACAGAACATCCATCGGTTGAGTCTCAAATAGCCACCTGCAAGTCTTGACATCCCCTTTCTCAATTTCAATATCTTCCTTAGTTTTATGTTCTTCATCCCCCAAACATTTAATGGCATCAAGTGGTTGAGTTTCAAACAACCACTTGGCTGTTTTGACGTTCCCTGACTCAACCTCCTGCTTGGATATACCTTTAATGATCTGAAACTTATTGATGCTTTCATCAAACTCATCAATAGGACGTGTTTCAAACATCCACCTGCAGCTGCGCACATCTCCCTTCACAATCTCCTCTCGCCTCACAGTCTTCACCTCGTGGTAATGGCCGGAGCTGTCTTGCATGGCATACATGGGGGTAGATTCAAATAGAACTCTGTTGGATTTGACAGATCCACTTGTGACGCCTTCAACTTGAATTTTCTGTGTTCCTTCACACTTACTTAAATCCATGCTTTCAAACCTTTCTTTATAGTTTGACACATCCCCTTTGTCGACAGCTTCAACATTCACAGTTCTTGTAATCTCCTTCTTCTCCTCCCTTATATTCTCCAGAGGCTGGCTCTCAAAGACCCACTTTTGATGCCTCACGTCACCCTTTTCTTCTTCAGATGCAACCATTTTCTTAAGTTTTCCCACTTCAGGGAGTTCTTTCAGATTTTCCATGGGTACTGTTTCAAACAGATGCTTGGCTGATCGAACATCGCCTCCTACAATCTCCTCTGTAGGTAAAGGTCTGGCATTGGAGTTGTCTTTCAGAGTATCCATAGACTGAGTCTCAAAAACCAGACAGTGCTTTCTCACATCAGCACCAATTATGTCTTCCTTTTGCTTCTTGGAACTCTCCCATTCCTCATCCTTAATGGTATCAAGAGTTTTTGTCTCAAACAGCCATCTACCTTTGTTGACGCCGCCTTGAATGTTGTCCTCCATGGATATACTACATATCAGCTTCACCGTCGCAGGGTCTTTGTTAATAATATCCAGAGGCTGGGTTTCAAACATCCAGCGTGATGTCTTGACGTCTCCTTTCTCAGTCTCCTCCCTGCGGATGGTGGTGATCTCCAGCATCTCTCCCGAATCCCCTCTAATGACACACATAGGCTGGGTCTCAAACATGCGAGTGGTTGTCTTCACATCCCCTTTGATTTCTTCCAGCTCAGACTTCAGGTTCAGGAAGTGGCTCTCCTCTATGGTTTCTGTTTTACCCAGGGAATCCAGATGCTGGGTCTCAAAGAGATATCTCGCAGTTTTTACATCTCCACCGGTGATGCTTTTGGTGATGGCAACATCTGTCTCCTGCTCGTCTTCTTGGTAGATCTTATTTAGATAATCAAGTGGCTGCGTCTCGAAAAGCCACGTGGCAGTGCGGACATCTCCTCTAGCAAGATCAGCCGATTTTTGTGACTGCTCAGTCGAATCAGAAGCCTCTGTCCCCAGAGCATCCATGGGCTTAGTCTCAAACATCCAAGCTGTGTACCTGACATCTTTGCCAGCAATGATTTCCTGCTGGGCAATATTCCTCCCCTCGTCCTCATCTGGGGTGTCGTCTTTAATCGAATCTAGTGGCTTGTTCTCGAACATCCAGCGCATGGACTGCACTTCACCTTTAAGGATCTCATCCCATTCTACGGACTCTCTGTCAGAGCTTGAACACTCGCTCGAGCCATTGCCGTCATTTTCAAACATATAGCATGCCTGCTGGACTTCTCCCACTATTTCCTCACTTTCCATATCCTTCTGTTCTGCCTCAGTGAGCTGACTCATGAAGTCCTCTTCCAGGTTCTTGCGGACCTCTGGATGAATATGCTTGTAGAGGCGCTTTAGTTCAGCTGTACTCTTGTGTTTAAAGTACTGCTCCTTTGCACCAGTGTGCTTATGCTGGGAGGCTGGCACCTGAAGCTGGGAAGAGACGTAGTCAGGGGTTTCCTGTAAGAGGTTGGAAGGCGGGGGCGGAAAATGGTCTGTCATCTCATAAGCCACTGAAGAGCCAGATGCTACTGAGGAGGCAGTGGCAGTCTTTAATGTGGAGGAGGTGTCATAACTTGTCATGGTTGAAGCTTTGGACTGATTTACTGGTGCCCATTGAAACTGGTTGAAATCCACATCAACCTGTGGTTTGTATGTGGTTTTGGTTAAGGAGAGAAAGACAGTGAGGGTTGTGCTGAAGTTAGAAAATGTTTTGTCATGAAAAGCACAGAAAAGGACAGCTTTGAAGTACAGAGTAATTTCAGAAATGAATTAACAACCTTCAACCTAAAATGATAATCATTATAAATGTTATTTCTAGGATCTGTGCAGCTGAGTTAAATTTCTTTTCCAAATCTAGAAGTGCCAAATAACAAAACTTATTTGGATGTAAATGAACAAATACAGACACATCTCCAGCCTGTCAAACCCAGACCATTTCAGTTATGTATGTTCCTAATTACTGGCATGTTTGAAATACTCATTAAATATCCAAAATGCAGACAGTAATGTGAGTTCTTGTTTAGTCTGGGTTTCCCTTATGGCACCATGAGAAAAAATAAGACGTTGGCTGTGTAATGACATGAGGTCTTTTATCCAATCCAATTTATTCTACATCAACTCATGGCATGTGCAATTTTCTTTTGATGATTTCATGATGTGGCCTCATCGTCATACTGATACCTCATAAAAAAGCCAAACTATCATCTATTTAGATAAACAGACAGCATCATTACCTTAATTTCCTTAGCTGGTGCGGCTTCCTCAATCGTTTTTTCATACTGCTGCTTCAAAGCCTGAGTGGAAACCTTTGGTAGGTCCTCTCCTCCAACGAGCATAACTGAATTAGACACAAGAAGAAGACTGCCTCATTAAGTCATTCGCAGTGAGGGAGCTCAGGGGGATTGGAAAGAGAAATAAATCATTTTATTAAAAACCTGAGTAGTTTTCATTATCTGAAACCATGCAGCGGTGATTGCCCAATTTCCACTTTCCAATATTTTACCTTCCTGACTTTGCCCTGATTAGATTTGCTGCTATGCACTGAATAGAAAATCATCTGCACTCCAACTCATTTTCATAGCTCATCCCTTATTCAGCTGTAGCGGGAACAATCATTAATATACAGGACACAAGCAGTGCTGTGATAAAAACGTGCAAATTACAATATAAAAGGCATGAGCAGAATAACCTGTTTCATTGTAATGGTTCCCGTAACTGGCGGCGACATTGTTCTGGTGGACTCTTTGATCGTGGATCACCTGTGAAAAGATAAATCATTAGTATACTGGCAACTGCACTGCAGCCACCAACTGTTTTCAATCAGTGAGAAGTTAAAGGCTTAGCATGAGGCTAATTTTCTATATAGGGCACATCAAGTGTGACAGAAAGTTCGGAAATAACCCAAGAACTGGGTTTATTAGCAGCCTCTCAGTGGTGAGATGCTAGAATACAGCCTTGTGACAAATGGTGAGTGGGACAGCCAGTACCTCTTGCTGATTGTGAAAGAGGGTGGTGCTGGGGACGACCTCTCTGGTGCTGCTTCTCACTGTCACCTCCGAGGAGCTAGACATTTCCTGTCAAACACAGAAAGAAAGTGGAATTGAGAACACATGCACAAATGGCCGCACACACTAGGACAGACACACACACCACGGTTTTATCACTTCATGACTGCGAGCTGTAAGAAACAGTAAGTAATTTTGATACAGTGAAAAAAGCTTAATAATCTCCTTTGTGGCCTGCAACAAATGTTTTCCCATTACAGAGCTGCTTCCTAGGGAACTACTAAGTTTAACTTCCACTAAAGGAGGATTTCAGTATTGAAGAGGGAAAGCAATACATTACAAAGACTGTACAAAACTACATCAGCCATTTTCTCCAGTGAGATTCATGCAATTTGAACAAGATGAAAGAGAAATATAATATTTGAGCTTGTATCCACTGCTGTTCACATGAAAGATACATAAAGGGTTGGGGTGCTCTCTAGTTGGGAAAGCACTTATGTCAGAATAATAATATCTCTCCTGATGTACAACCAGTTTTAAAACCAGAGCTCTGATATTACACCTGTGAGGGAAAACTTCAGCAGAAAGTGGTTTGCTGTTGCAGCACAGAAGCAATAACTCAATCAAAGAGACACTTCCCCTCACGAACCCCTCTGTAAAATTTAGCATTCAGCAAGGTCCTTGTGCGCTCGATGAATCCACTCTGCTCCTCGCCTGAATGAGCAGATGGGAAGAATGCATGGAGGGGCGGAATTGACCTTACTTCGCTGAGATCCGGCCTCGTCCAAGGCTGCTAACGTGTTCTGGCATTTTCCTCACGCACTCAGTGACAGTGCCACATATTCCAGTTCAAAGTGCCCTCTTTGATTTGACCTACAAGGAAGCCTTGGAGGCGCAGCCATAGCAGCCAAGTTTTTCCAATAAAGAGCTACAGCAGAATGTAAATCACTCAGTGGCATTCATATGTTTTCCACTTTATGCTGAGCTGGTGAACACAGAGGACAGCAGTACTCTGTCCTCTTGACTTTAAGGCCCTGTCGCCATGTTTGTGGATATGTTTGAAAAATTTTTTACCCTGTTTTTAAAAGAAAATCTGTCCACACGACCTATGTTTGAAAATAAATCAACATCCACACCAGAAAGCAAAACTGACTTGAAATGCTTGCCCAGCCAGTAGGTGGCAGTAAAAGCTACACCAAAGACATGTCAAATACCAAAAACAGAATGATCCAACCTGCAGACACTGAGGTGGAAAATAATTACATCAGGCGCAGCAGGCACCTTCATTCATCCATGAAGTGATGCAGCAATACTAAGTTAGGATGTAAAGTAGTCATTAGACTTAGCAGTGCTCATTACACAAAGCATAAATGAGCACAAATGAATTGAGGACATGATGACATAATTTCCCAAATGCTCCATTTTACATATCCACACACAAAGTAACCAGAGTTTTGAAAAATCTGCACCACAATCAACACAATCACCAGAGCAAATGTTGGCACTGAACATTTCTGCAAACCCAAGAAGCATTATATTTGTACATTATTATGTAGCTAGTGTAACTTAACATTTCAACATTGCTGTGGTTGACGTATGGTTAGGTTTAGGTACAAAATCCACTTGGTTATGACGAGGACGAGAGGCAATATCTCATCGAAAAAACAACCGCTTTTCATGCCACAGGAAAAGCAGCAATGGCTCAGTAAAAAACAATATTTTTTGTGCCAAAAAAGCAGCTGGAAAAAAATGACTGATCACAGCGAAACACTCATGTTTGGTGGCTAAAAAGATGCTGGAAACACAGCTATGTCTTGCTAAATCACAACTGGTTTTGTTGTTTGTTGGTTTACCATCTCTTCCACCTCCAGAAGACAAAGTCAGCTCATAAACTACGTCACTTTAGAAATGTTGATGATATGTATGAAAATGTGCAGATGTAAAGTGTTTATGGTTTGCAGAAATGTAAAAAAAGGACAACTTTTTGTTTTGGTGACTGGTATATCGCCACCTTGAATGTTAGATATCTCAGGGTTTCCAGGTAAAGTTCTTAGTGAATCTGAGCTAAAAAAAAAAAAAAAAGACCCTGAAAGACCTAGAAAATAGAAATGAATAGACATGAGTCATTGAAAGTGCTTGATTTATATATTTTGTGCAAGAGTAAAAGTTCTCTGCCTCTACCACTCTTACACAGTATATTGTTGGTGTTGCTGTGCTGGATTAGAGAGTGCAAGAGACCACATGATCTGCCATCACTGTAACACAGCACAACTGAGACGTGTTCACACTTTCAAGCCTCTCACTCTTTTTAATTGTTGTCTGTGAGCTTCTGTAAAGCCATCATAAATATTCTCAGCGTTGTAACGGTAGTCCATCCTCACCTGGACAGATCTCTGCTCGAAATGATACTGGGTGACGCTGGACTGAGAGGACGAAGAGGCAAACTCCTGGTTCTCAAACTGTCTCTTCACACTTGCCAGGCCGCCAGGCAGCGAACAAGCCTCCGACTCATCCATCACCTATCAGCAGAAAACAGATAACATGAAACACACCTGGGAATCAATCGCTGTAAACACACTGTACACATGCAGTTGATATGAGATTGAGAGGAAGAGATTAGACCGAGGTGAATCAGTCTCTGCCCTCATTGATTCTGAATATGTTATACATTCACTTATGCTGATATCAAAGTGAATGCAAAGGCATTATGCTAATGCTTTTTACAGCATTAGCAGTGTTGGTGTTCTTTGAAAAGTGGGGTGAATGGTGTACTTGTAAGACATTAACAATGGAGTGAGATGGTTCCTTTACAATCCTCCAGGAGGTGTAAAAAGCAGAGGGCATTATACTGTAATGTACCTTTAATAACACTGAGAGACAAGATACAAGTCAAACAGGACAAAGTCACTTTTTTGGGATGGGACTAGTTGAAAAGAAATAAAACCTAAATTAAAGTTCTTTTTTTGTGTTTATTTCTGGCAGAAATTTCAGAAATAGCAAAGATGGCAGGCGCCCAATTTTAATGGATTTACTTTTCCCATATCTGTCCTGCAACAGGGAGTGAAACATCAATAGAAAATCCAGTCTTTCAGATTAGTCACTTTAATGGAACAAAAAGGCTTTTCAATACTTTTTTTTTTAATTGAGCGACAGAAGGAATTATTCCTTAAAACTGGAAAGTATAAAAGCCTGGTTTCCTCGCAGAGAGGAGGAGGAGAGAAGTCATCAGTATGGAGGATGCAGACCTCACACTACGAGATCTGGGCAAGAATGCACTCTGACTATTTGATACAATAATCTCCTTTTGGGATTGTCAATTACTTTCCTAATAAAACATTTATATGTAGGCCTCTGCATATATAGCTTCTGGAAAACTGCAATATATATGAGAAGCTTGCTGCTATGCGTATATGTGTGTGTGTTGTGTGTGTGTCTTGATATTCAACACACCCGTCACCTTTCCTTTTTAATGCAAATGAGGGGTACAATGCAATTTGCAAGTTATTGCAGAGGGGTTCAGGTCAGTGACATTTTATGGCATGGCAGCATGTTATCAATATTTTACTACTTCAGGCTACAATAGCTGCATTGATACAACATGAAACCAACATCTCTCATTTTAAATGGCTGTCATAGCAACCCATTCTCATTCCCAGGGCGTCCAGCGCTGCTACTTTGTCACGCCCCTCAGCATGTGATAGCCACACCAAAGAGCCCTGTGTTTTTTTAAGATGCAATCGGCTTTCAACTAAGTCCAATGTAAACCCAGCCGCAGTTGGTCACCGCTGACGTGGTATAAAGAGCAACAAAGTCCATGTAGTCATTAAGGATGCCCTGTGCGTCACTATAAGAGACAAGGGGCGTGACATAGAGACAGTATTTGACGACCTGGGAATGAGAATGGGTTGGTTATAGATTTAATATCCTCTGTGCGTGCATTCAGGCAGGCTCAAACAACAGGGAATCGAACCAGTATTGCTGTGCGTATTAGTCGTGCACAGATAGTTGCTGGTGACAGGTCTGCTGCATGATGGACTGGGCAGACTGAATGGTGTCCATCAAAGGTCCTGCTATCTTTAAACACCTTGTCACTTGTGTGTGGACATGCAGACAGCAGCTGCAAAGGTACAGCAGAAAAACAGGAATCCAGTGCCCCCCTCCACACACACACAAACATCCACATTCAGCTGTCAGTATCCACCACAGGAGGCTGGTGCTAGCTTATCTATTGGTATCAATAAGCTATTGATAAAGGAATAAAGACGATTTACTGAACTTGTGTGATGGTTGTTATTTTAAGGATAATTATGTGCCACGGACTTTAATAAAAAGCAACAAGCCTCTTGAGGCGGTGCTTCACTGTGATGTTGGTGCAGCTAGAAAAGCACTCTGTGTTATGTTAACAATGCCTCTCATCTGCTCTGAAATGGCTGTAAAGCCCGGCCTCGAGTGGCTTGTTACTATGCAGACCTGTGACCAGCGAACAGCTAATGCACTCACTGAAAATCAGCACTCGTAAAATCAAGTCGTGCTGCGTAGAAGACACGTCTTTATCTGAAGTTTTTTAATCTATTTGTTATTTTTTATCACCACTGTTTTAAATTACTGTAAAACACAGCCTCTTGAGCCTTATGACACACTGCAGTATACACTATATGAGAAGCTTGTTGCGATGTGTGTGGGTGTGTGTATGTGTCTTGATGTTGAACATGCGCACCCGTCACCTTTCCTTTTTAATGTAAATGAGGAGACAATGTAATTTACAAGGTATTGCGGAGGAGTTCAGGTCGCTGACATTTTATAACAGGGCTCCATGTTATCAATATTTTACTACTTCAGGGTACAATAGCTGCATTGATATAACATGAAATTAACAGCGCTCATTTAAAATGGCTGACACACACCCAATGTTTACTGAGTGTGCTTTCAGAGAGGTTCATACAATAGCGAAATCTAACCAGTAATGCGGATGTAAATCTGTCTGCAGTAAGCATGTGACTGCTCCAGAAGTTGGCAGGTTGCCTTCTGTAAACACAACACAGTGTAGCCTCATGACTGATTCATGGATTGGACATTACTTTATCTGACTTTATATTGGGTGTGTATTTCACTGCTTTGAATGTGTCACATGACCTGTGATGTCAGCTACAAATGATTTTCTGCTGCTCTGATTTTTTAGATTTAAGTTTCTAACTAAAACTCTTGTAGCCTCCACAACTTTTACTCCTCATACACAGTTTAAACATCAAAACGTAGATATTTTTGTCTACTTTCAGATGATGTGCCCATTTGAGCAATAGGACCTACAGTTTTTAATAGTTCTGCCTTAAAGTTTTGAGCAAAATCCAAATGTGGAGATTTTTAAAACCGTTTCTCAGTCATTTTTTTACCTACCCATACATATGGCATGTCTACATCCTCAGTTAAGTCTTGGAATGCTCAGAGTCAAGACATTTCAGTGATGCAACTCACAGGTTTTGACTGTGAGTGTCTTTTTGAAGTAGTACTCATGTCATTACAAGTTGTACTCAACAATGACTTGATACAGACACACAGTAGATTCGGACCTCCATCACCTTCTGCCCGTCTCTGATTGGAGCATCTGCCTGTCTGTCTGTGTCTCTTTCAGCTGTCAGCATTCACACACATTTTCTTCAAGGAAAAGCATTTTCGAGTTTTACCTCCTGAGCTGACTTACTGTTGTGGCCTTGGCTGACTAACTGCTCACACAGTTGAATTATTGGGTTCACAAAGTGCATGCAGGCTCTTCAAAGCCACTGAGGCTTTTTTGTTCTCGGTAATGACTAATGACTCAGGGATACTCAGAAATGTTTTTGTGTTTAATTAAAGCGTGAAGGCCTGCTGATGTGCTGGCTGTGTGAGTTCATCTAAATTTGCTGCAAAGTACACTTTTTTTCTCGCTACAGATGCAGTTACACTACTCTGAAATGGTGATTGATGGTCCTGTGTGCTAACAAGAAAAAGGCAGCATTGTAAGCAGTTTCTCATTATGACATAAATAATCATTAGGTAAGATAAAACACATGTTATACTTACTTACTTTATAACTCTAGCATTATTTGCATGATTTATAGCTGCTTTTCCATGAAAGACTGATGAATGCCTACCTATCTCTTGCATTTGCGGGTCTCATAACATATGTTTGAGATATATGTGTTGTGAAAGAAGACAGTTTTCAGTTAACCAACAATGTGTTAAGGCTAGTGGTGAAAGAAGTACTCAGATCCTTTGCAGTATAACTACTAATACAACAATGTAAAAATAAATCAAATAAAGCTCAAACTGCATTGTATCTGAGAGCACTTTAACACAGAGAGTTAATGCAATACGCAGGATTATGATTCATGATGATCATATTCGGCTGTTTTGGTGCCCTCTTAGGCACTGGTGCCCGACACACAGTTCAAGATGTGCCTGTAGTGGCAGCGCTGGAGAGCAAAGAAGAAAAAATTGATGTTCTTTTTCTGGACTTTCCTCTAATCTTTTTTTCTTTGTAAAATATTAGATAATATTACTCCTATGAGCCCACAGCTAGAGCTTAGAGGGGAAATGTCTCTTTGGTGGAACTGCTAACAACTCATGAAAGTCTTAAACATGACAAGGACACTACTTTTTTTGTAAGGGGTCCAGTACTACAACAACGTAGTACTAATACTACTTTCAATTAACATATCTCTTATGAACAACTGTCTTCAATTTTCTAATTCAATGTGCTGAAACAGCAGCCCCATATGAAATGTCTGGTCCATGATTCCCCCTGGCTCCCATTCACACTCTAGAGGTTTGGTTATCCCATCCAGTACTGAGCCTTTTGACACTTTGACAAATAATGCTGCCATCCCACCCGAGCCCTGTGGCACCCCTTCTCTCAGTGTAGCCGACAAGCAGGACAGTGTTTGGTGAAAGCAGATTTATATTTTGGGGTGAATGAAATGGTCATAAACATCGGCAATGCCATATTGTCAATGTAATAATTGAATCCAAACATGTCTGTGCCTGTCTGCCGTCTCCCCGGCTGCCTGCATATCCTCACTGCCGTCTCTCCTTACATCCACGTGGAAGTATCATCTTACCGCAGCAGAGGAGGAACTGCTGGTTTCTTTCTTGGACACGGCAGCCTGATACATCGCCAGCCGCTCTTTCACCGACACCGGCTCGTCCTCCTGGTCCTCGGCTCCTGGCGTGTGTCTATCTGCAGCTACACAAACACAAAGAAAGATATTACATAATCACACTGATGGCGAGGAAATAGTCTGAAATATTAAAGTTTTACTTTTTGCCTTTTTCTTATCTTAATGGCTTAAAATCCCACCCTGAGTCAGATAAAAATATCTGCATATCTGGAGATACTGTAGAAGTTTTGACCAAGACGTGGCCGGAGGCAAACAAGCTGCAACAAATGTTGACACAAAACCTAAGTGGAATACTCATCGATCATACAGCACTACTGTACGATACTTCATATTGCTCAGCACATCCCGGCGGATAGCCAATTAGAGAAGACCATGGATTTTACATTTGACTTTTCTGTGCTACAAAGCATCATTAGGCAACAGAGAAGGCTCCATTAAGGCTCAGCATACACCCACACTCCCACACTTTTAGCTCTTGGCATGTTCTCTCTCTCCGGGCAGCAACACCGTGGGATGATAGAAGACCCTAAATAGAAATGATTCCCTCTCATTATGTGCTCACACTGTAACCTCGTGACATTTTGAAATCCTCCCCCTTGTTGTGTTTTCCCACTAGATTATTACATATTTTCTCCACATATATGCGTACGCGTATAACCTCATTTCAAAGTAGAGGTCAGTGTGAGCTCTACTTCAAAACCGATTGAAAAGCCTTGGAGCAGCTGCTAGTTGAATGCATATGGATCCAGTGAAGGCCCTCTTGCTGCTATGGTATTTAGATTAATAAGTCAGAGCTTAGTGGTATAGTACATACCGTTCATCTTAACTGCTCTCTTATAGTCCACTTATAGTAAACCTATGATCACACTAGCTTGGTATCGCCCTCTTCCCTGGTATCCATAAATGAAGAAATCAAACACCCATTGGTTTGGTCTCTTTGCACATTTAACCAACAGAGTTGGGTACTGGGAGGAGCTGCTGATTGAGGAAGTTTCTTTGAATGTAACAGAAAAACATATCAGAGCTGGGGTGAAGCACAGTGCCATTGTTGGCCAATTAGACCAAAATTCTTCCGCTTTCACCTGCTGTTAGTAGCCCAGGATTTGAACTGGGTAATCGGATGCCTCTTGCCGAAATGCACCTTGGGAGTCGTGGTTAACTTTTGCCCTGCAGTATTCTTGACGAAAGAAAGAGAGCCTATTAGCTGTGATGCATCATAGGGAATGACAATGTGTCTTCACCAACAGTGAGTCAGCGATTTTTGAAGGATAAGGTTAGGAGTGTCGTCCGCTGGTTGTTTACAGTAAGTGTCAAAAAGAACTGCTGAACTGACACAAAAGTTCAGCGGTGAAACTACTCAGTGAATGAGATACAAACCAGCAAAAGCAGCACATATAGTATACAGACATACATAAAGGTAGGCTAATGTTACGTGTCTCATTTTGCTAGGTTCTGGTAGATTAGTTATGCATGACTAGCCGAAATCTTTCTAGCATTTAGTTAGCATATCATTAGCTAGCTTATCTTTGCCCGGATGATTGTGTAGTTGGCACTTGACTTTTAATTGAACGTGGGCCTCCAAAGACAGAAAGTTTTTGAATTGCTGACAGGTGTAGGCACGAACTCCAAACACCAGATAGACATCAGGGACCATAACGTTAATGGGTGGCAAGCTGTCAAGATCTGTAAAGGTCCCTATCAATTTTGCTTCTTTGCCTCTGTTGAGAGCTTCTCTTCATGTGAGCATTTGTTTTTCGCACATGCTTATACACTTGTGATGATGAATGGATGATAGATGGCGACGGACACATATCCTTCCAAGATGGCAGCACCACCCCAGAATTCTTTATGATTCCCATTCCCTGTAGACCGTATCCTAGTGTTTGTTTACGATACATGAAATGAAATGGTGCCTCCTTGGATTGGTTTTTAGCCACCTAAGAAAAGGCCCACTTAAAAAATCAATATCAGTTTAAGTGTAAGCTGTAGGAGAATATTTTCACTGCTTTGCCTCGCCTTCTGACAGCAATTTCCAATGGAGAACTGAAGCCGTTATCTCAAAGCCACCAGACTCCGCTGACAAAAAGTAATTTTACTAAGCAGAACACAGGAGTTGCTGGTCTATTGCTGCCTCTATCAGTTAGTGTGGAGGGTAAAGTGGAGAAAATACTCCAAGTATAGCCGACACCAAACTGATACTGATATTTTTAGGTGGCTAAAATACGTTTTGCGGCAGCCACGTCCACAGCAGTACATTGCTCAACCTCTGTGCCATTAGATTTGGTTGCAACACAGAAGTTAATGCTACAAATGCATCTTCTGTGGGTGAACTACTGTCTCATACGGGGCAAAGCTAAAAATTATTTTGAATGTCAGTTGGCTCACGCATTAGCTTCTTGTGAGAGCTTTTTTCTTGCTTCAATAACTCTTTATTGAATGTAATGAACCTGAGAAACCTGCGAATAAAATATCAGCGGTGTAAATGGCACAAGTGCAGAAAAAAATCAAAACAGAGAGAATCGTGGGGAGCTATTGAGAGTGACTATAATGTTCCTGAGTGGATCGTGTGTTATCAGCCCTACAGATAGTTCCCATGTCACCAAACTCCTATAACCACATATTTTGTAACAATGCTTGGATGAATTTTGCTGTGCCATTTGCTGGTGTGACGTTAATACAGATGAGACTGACAAGAGCACACTCTCCTTATCCAATTTTAGCTTTCTGCTACATCCGGCATGTTAGTGTAACCAATAACCCGTCAGAAATAGGCTGCCCGGGACAGCATCATCTGAAAATAAACATGAGTTTTACCCGCAACATCCTATTAATATGGGTCAGAAATCCTACACCTGAGGCTGCAGTGCAACTTAATGCCAGCTCAATGACAGAAGCACAAGGATAATGCCCTCATTTATCACCCAAGACAAATGTCCACGTCATGGTCTGGAGCTGTCAGAGAGGCAGAGACATGCGGGTTTTGATGCCCAGGAGCGGTGACAACAGCGCTTTGGATATCCCTGGCTTCTGAGAGGGGAATGCCGTATGCAAAGCTGCCATAGCATGGAGGTGAGGTAACCAGCGCTCAGAGAGGAGGGGGGGCTGACTTTTATAACCCAGCTCTGTCTGCAGCGTCATGTTCCCCTGTGACAGGGAGATTTATGGATTGGATATGTGTGTGAGAGAAAGAAAAGGAAGAAAATAAAGTAAAGGCAAAATTGAAGAACTACTAATGAGGATATTTTCTAAGATTTAAAAGTCACCATCTCTATGCTGTAACTAATTACTACTAGCACCAACAGATGTTTAATTAGCATTAATAATAGCTTTCTCATTGCTTACGATGCCCCAGTATAATGAAGGCCACGTCTCTGTTTACTGTGTAGTATTGATGTCAGGAAACTTTTTCACAGTCTTACACTTATAACCTATGTCATTTCTGCTTTTGACAGAGAGCATATTGGACTGCTTAGAGGCGTGTTTACCTCCACACTCACTATTATTTTCTTCTTCTCCGAGTATTAGCTTCTTATCTCTGCAATGCCACGGCGGCGGCACAAATGATGGCACCGTGCGAGGGGTAATGGAAGAGAGAGAGGCCGGGTAAAGTCAACGGCGGAGGCCATGCTGCTGCTGGTATGCATGACTCGGTGGCTATATTGAGCCAAGCCGGGGGCTATTGACCTCCATGTCACTGCCTCCTCTCCACGAAAGCGATCAGAGGTGAGGTGCTGCTCCGCCGGCTAGCTAGAAGTGAGGAGGTGAAGGGCTTCGTGGGGTGCTAGGCTATAAGACAACAGAGGAGAATGTGTCCAGGAAAGTGAGAAAAGAACAAGAGAGTAATTTAAGGTTGCAAGAGAAAGCAGCATGGCTTCGTAGCTCAAAGCTAAATCAAGGCCCATAGATCTGTGTCAAGCAGAGGCCGCCCTCTAATCACAGAGGTGTCACCCCCTTCTCTGCCCTCTCCGCACAAAAGAAGCCTTAAGCAACCCAATTTTCTGTTCAGTACTTACTGACCAAAGCTTTTGGCTGGCGAGGTTTGACAGGGGAGCCAAATCGAGCTACACTAATTGAAATGTCAGCCGTGGAGGGCGATTTCTTCCTTACCGACAAAGGCAAAACAGGCACAATAATTGAGCTGTCAGATCTATCAAAATAACTTCTTTACATGGAAGCTGGATTGCCCTCGGGTACTTCCTTATGCGAGGCTAAGCACTTTGTCTCCGATTTGCTATGCTTTTAGAATATTCCAGATCAGATTGCTGCTGGTTATGTCTGGTGGAAGGAAACAGGAAGGGCCCATGCATGTTTTATAACAAAGCACAAATCCTAGTGGAATCCTGGAAACATACTGCAATATCACGTCTCATTCTTTATGGAGCTCCAGCCCCTGATGTTTCAACACAAAACAGCCCCCTGCACTTCACCTTATTTTACACTCATGTCTGCGCAGCCTGGGCACATCAAACCGATTCATTATCAACTAAAATGTCATCCACCATTTCCAATTTGTCTCCTTCCACTTGTGCTTGTGTGGAAAATCCTTTTAAAGAGCTGTGCTACAGTGGGGCTGACGTTGATACAAAAGTTAGTCTAGAAATGCTGATAGTCCGCATACATTGCTTACCTTCTGTAACTGTGTAGGTTGCCCTGCACGTCAAACCACAATAGAATCCAACAGAATAGAAAAGGACCTTGGATCTCCAGAGAATGAAATGGGCTTAGTCGCCCAGCCTTCACCTGATACACAAAGCAAATCCTGGGCAGGCAGACAGTGAGGCTTGGAGACCAGCTCCAGCAGTGTGCTCCACAGCTCAGTGAGGCCCCAGCGTCCAGTGACAGCTGATTTTATTTTAGAAGTCCCCTTCGTAAAAAATAGGAGTGACTTGGGGGAGAGGGAAGGTGGATGTTGGTTGGCTTTTTTTAGTGTCGAGGTACCCAACATGCTCTTAACCTTATGTCACAGTAGGCTTATGGACACAGACGTCCCACACTGTCAGCTGGGAAACAGACACTTGGTACATCCTTCATTTACGCAGCAGAGAGCAGGAGGACACTTAGCATT